GCGCTACATTATGGATATTCGCGACTGAAAATGATTGTGGCAGAAGTCACCTCATATCTTCATTAGTGTTTGATTACATTGCTCACACTGCTGATGAAGCAATAATTAATGTGAATAATTGAGCAAGTGATATGTATATGTAGGTTCCGAGCATTTACCATACGTGTACAGTTCAGTGTTAGTCATTTTTCCATTTGCTGGATATCAGTGCATTTTGCCTTTTTTAATTCCGAGTTTTGGATGTTTTTGAGAAAGCTTTGTATGCATGGTTCTTATCGCACTTGTAATGTTGATTTAGTTTTATTCGCTAGAAAGCGCTTTATTATCGCTTGCCATAATGTTGCTTGCAATTGAAAATGAATTTCTTATCCGCTACTACTTTTGGCTTTGAGGGATTTTACATCTTGCTGTGCAGTTACGAATGACAAAATCCCATCAAAACCAAAGCAGCTATTTGTAAGCTGATGAAAAATTTTCTATTGTGTTCACTAACTGCTATGTATTCCGAGTGATTCACAGTTGTAATAGGAATGAGGTGATTATGACTTTGTTGGAATGAAGTTTTGTGACACTCGCTTTGATCACATAATAGTTTGATGGGAGTTGTTCCGACCTTTACGGCTTTTATTTCGTCATACAGCAAAGTTCTGCTTGTTCATATATCCTATCACTTATCCTCCCTTCTCTTCCTTCTTTTGCGTATTTTAATTCCAACGTAGGCATAATTGAATGGACTTTCATAGCAGTGGAATTTTATCGGTTGGCATATCTCATGTAATTCAGCTAGTAGAGTGTAGGTCACCATGCATGTGCTCGGGCTCCCTTCACTTCAACCTAGACTTATAGTTTTCCTAGGTATAAGCATACGGCACGCAATACATTAGTTCGATTGTCTCTGATGACCTGATGTGCTGATGCAGTTCCGCCTGCATACTTGAATCTTACTACTAAATGTTGGGGAGGGACAAGAAATGATAGATATGGAGAAATTCCATGGGGCTAGTCCACAGATTTCTTTGCTTTTCGGTAATATATCGCGCTAAGGACCAGTTTTCGCTCTAATCAATTTATCTTTAAAAACGTGCTTATTGGTATTAAGAAGTGTTAGATGCAAGCTGCTAAGAAACTTGCTAGCAAGAAACTCATTGATGTTGCTTTGCTGAATGTTCGACGACGATTCCTTGATCTCACCACCCGGCAATTCGCACCAGAATCATTTGAATTTGACACAGTTCAGTACAGGTCTAAAAGGGTATGTGACCTTAAGCACCACTTACTCGAATTTTCTATTCAATAAAAACTTATTCAGATATTTGATGGTACTGTAACCGGGGGTAAAAATGCACGAGCATTGCTTGCTCTGGAAGCGTTTCAAGCTTTGAACCCCGAGGCGGATACTGCCGAAATTCATAAAATGGCAGAATTTGCTTCAGTGCTCGAAATGGTAGGTGCAATTAAAAATTCTCCAAGCCTCTTTAAACGTTCGCAATTGTCGAATATGTCTATTTTTCTAGAGGAATTGACGAATATCTGATTGTCATTTCAGATCCAAAGTTTTTACATTATAATCGACGATATCATGGATGAATCGAAAACCCGT